CACTTTTTTTATTTCTAGATAAATACCTTTTTTTTTTTACTTCAGGATTAAAATTCTAATACTGAAAAACTGCGGCAGTAAGCATACAGATGTTCATCACAAGTTATATTAATGCACATTCACATATGTAAGCTTTTGTTTATAATGTAAAACTTTTAACAGCTGCAAAGCATTATTTGATTAAATTTATAAATAGTTAACCTAAAACAATTTTTAGTTTACTTATTAAATTTTACTTGTTTATAAATTTATTTCTCTAATTTTTTGAAATAAAGAAAGTTTAAATTTTGTTTAATACATAAATATTTGTTTTTGTTCATAAATTACACATTAATATTTATGTGTGTATATATGACAAACAAGCAAAATATTTATATTTGTTGTATCTAAATAATTTTCAAACAATTATAATTATTGTCAGTATAGTTCTGTTAGTTTAAAAATACTCAATTAAATCATTGATTTCTATAAAATAATTTAAAAAATTTATATTACTTTAATTATAACAAAATATTAATTCTACTTGGAATATTCTGTGTGTTATAAAATAAAATAAATAATGCAATAATTCAAGTATACCAATAATACTATCAAAATTAGTTATACATATTCAAGCATGAATATAATAGTTGAATATTAAGTAGCATTTAGGCTCTTTCTTTTCTGTTTACAAAACATGATGTTAATACACATGACTCATATTTCATTATTCATGAACTTGATTATTCTTGTTCCTTTTCCAATATTAACTGATTAGCTAGGAATGCACTGAAGAGTTTTATTATTAATAATTAGTGTCATCAATAGTTTAATATAATATATTATGGAATTTAATGGATTAGGCTATCAGAAAATTGCATATTTGGCTTATTATTTTAATGTTTTATGTTTATATTTTTTCAACTTACTCTAAATAAACTAGAGAGGGGAAAAAAAAGTTTACTTTGTTTGTATTCACTAGAATATTAATAACAAAATAATAGCTTACAGCTAACAGATGAGGGAGGAGCATAATTAGTTTTGAAAATGAAAAAAAGTATAACCACTTTATATGTAAATTATACATTGCTATTTAATTTTTTAAATAAAGGCAATTCTTTGAGATAAAAATAGTGCATTATTTTTTATTATTTGAATATATATTATTATATTTTAAACAATTTTTTCTTACATTAATGATTTGAAAATTAAATCAAACAATTTTTAATAATTTAAATACATCTCTTAAAATTTTTTACAACTTTCCATTTATATAAAATCTATAATTTTTCTCAGCCATTGCTTGTAAAATTCTAACAATATTTCTGCAGTCATCTACAAAGAAAAAAAATCAACAATTTTAACAGGAAGAAATGATAAAAGAATAAAATATTTCCATAATCCATATAATTCCCATACTTATATTTTCCTTATTGTAACATAAAAACTATCAAGACGTAACAAACAAAACAAAAGCTGTTTAAAATAAAAATAATAATAATAATAGTTCAAACAATAATTAATTTCTTAATTAAAGCGTTTCTGTTTAAATAAATGGGTTAGGAAAATTAATTATTTCTCTTCAATATAATATAATTTTACTCAATTAATTTCTTAATTAAAAAGTTTCTGTTTAAATAAATGGGTTAGGAAAATTAATTATTTCTCTTCAATATAATATAATTTTACTCAGTTAAGTATATAAAATCTTTAAAGTGTATTTTTTCCTCTCGTATAGTGACACGTAAAACAACATTAACTTAACTTTTTTTTTTTACATATCGATCATAATAGTCCATAACCTGATTTTACAACCTTCCAGATAAACAAAGACTTCTTACAGGATACCATGTAACTTAAAAGCAATAAAAATTATTATTGTAGCTGGTAAAATATTTGGAAATTTAAAAAAATACATATATATTTAATTTTTATTCTTTGTTTTTTTTAAGATAACTGATTTTTATTAGAGATTTCCTTTGGCTAAAGGTTTGGCTCTTCAGTTCATCAGTAACTTGTGCGCTACGGTGTAAAAGTCGATAGTGGAAAAGGAAAAAAAAAAAAAAATTAGTGAAANTATGTCAAAATTCTTTTCATAGCCAGGATATTCCAGGTAGACAAAAAATAAACCTAATACTTAACTAGAGCATAACATAAAATTATATGCAATTTATCTTGTTATGTATAATCAGATTTACATGAATGGCTTTCACACAAATTAAATATTTAAAGAACACAGTATTTCTATAGTATTTTCAAATATTTCATTTTTAATTTCAAAAATAGTTAAATCAATATCATTTAGGATAGAAAATACTAAACAAAATTGATTCAGTAATCTAACAGATATTATATATTTTTATTCATAATTTAAACTAATATTGCAAATTGTAAAAGGATAATTTAATATATATTTCATTGAAAAAGATTAAAGTTTTTATAGATTTTTTCTTTAATATCATTAAATTCATCGTAGTATTATCTAGTTTAATATACCTCTTACTTCATTAATTACTCTTGATACAACAATATAACAATAAGGAATAATTTTTTTATGCCCAGTATTTAAATAAATGTGATGCTTTTAGAAATAATTATTTTATTTTTAATAAGTGAATTTTTTTATTATTAAAAACTTGAATCTTCTGTATTTGTATCAACTTAATCTTTCTACTTTGCTTTGATTTTGTACACAAAATGACTAATTATATTCTATTGATATAAATTCTTTTATTTAAATCTAGATATTAAATATACAAAATGATTAAATACTCAAACATTCATATTGTTAATTAATCAATTAATGATTTGTATTAAAAAATTTTATTTCTTTATTAATTGAAAAACAAGATCTATAAGTGATTATACATTAACAAAATGGATCTTTACTTATCAAACTAAAATATTGCAAAACAAAACAATCAAGATAATATGCACATACAATTCAAAATTAAAGATTTCTTTCTATGAATTTTTATTTATTTAAACTTTCTTCAGAAAAATATTGAATTATATCATAGAAATTAAGATTAAATGCAGAGTTAGATATCATATAATTCTGCATTTCATTTCAGAATAAACTTATTACATAAATTTATTTCTTTTTATTTTTATCAATTCAAAAGAGAAAATGTACATTACATTACTTATATATATATAAATTATAAATATGCATGTATTAAATTATTATATATTTATTTATCTGTTTTAAAAGAAGCATTAAATTATTATTAAATTATTAAAAAATACAAATAAAATGAAAAATTATCTGAAACAACAGATTCAATAAATCACAATTATCAATTCTTAAAAATGCTTTTTTATTTTTTCTTTGAAATGTTTGTGCTTTTTTTAAAACAGATCATCCTGACTAATGGTACTTAACTGTTTTCTAAAACAATATTTATAAGATAATGAATTCATTATAACTACTACCTTTAGAATAATAATAAGAATGCAAAAGCAGTTATACAAGTTTTCGATATTCTGAATGCAAACATCTGATTCAGATCTCATTAAATCTATTTTGAATAAAATCAAAACGAGAGTTCTTAAAAAATGCTGTTTTAAACTTATATAATGAAAATTTATTTTTCTTAATACAATAATTATCAGATATAACTAAATATATTTTAAACACAATGGTAGGTAGTGTTTACTAGCATTAGTTAGACAGTGCACCATTATTAAGAATATGTTAATGTCAGTAATACTTTAAACTCTGTTTTTTAAAGCCCTGAAAATTCTCTGTACAACCTGCAAGCATCCCCAATTTTCACAGGTTGTTTTATTTTGATAATATAAACAATATTTTTTGAGTTAATTTCTTAAACAAATTTATAGCATGATAAGATTTTATTATGAAATTTAAAAATTTTAAATAAAGAATATGACTTTTAAAAATTGTAAAAGTGATTTTAAGACAAAAATATATTTTCATGTTTTGAAATCACTTTTTGATAGATTCTATAAAAATTTGTTAAAACATTCCATAAATTCCAGAAAATTCAATATTATTAATCTATGATGAAATTATATCAATGATGAGCAACCTTTTCTGGATGAATGCAGGCCACAAGAAAATTTCTTAGGCTTCCAGTGGGCCATATACATTTTCTTATGGAGTTGCAGGCTGTAAGCCTGCTAAATCCCAACATGCTCTGTAAGTGCCAGTACACTATGTATTAAAATAATTTGCTAATGATATGCAAACTAGTAGCCTAATGTATAGTTTCTGTTATTTTCTTTACAGGCCAAGTTTGAATGTTCTTCATCGTGAAATCAGCTTAATTAAGATTGCATAATGGCACAAGACAGAAAATAGGAAAACAAAATTACATTGCCAAAGCCATGAGGATGATGCCACCTAAGTCCTTATAGGCTGCATGTGACCCAGGAACTACAGACTGCTAATGACTGAATTGTATTAATATAAAATTGCAAAATTAATATGTTAATCGACCACACACACAACACACAAGCAATACAATCAAATTTTACATATAAATTTATTTGGTGTGAAAGTTTCTAAAAATGAAACTAAAAATATAATTTCAAATAATCTTAACAATAAAAAAACTCTTCTTTAGTGGTCAGGAATGTTTAGGCATTATTGATAACCAAGTTGCTTTATGTTTATGAATTGAACAGGATAATATTAATTTAAATATCTTAAGTTTTGTGAAAGATGAGTTGAGTTTTTAAATGTATTATATACAAAGAGCTTATCAATATTTAAATTTATGTATTTAATTTATTAATTAAGAAAAAAATATATATAAAATTTACATTAAATATATTAATATGAATTAAACATAAGCTGACAATACATACATTTTTTTCCTCTGGCCCAGCCATCCCATCTTTTTAGTAAAGTTTTCACTTTCATCCAATTTTTTGATATCAAAAAACAGTTCTTCACTTTATATATTAAACAAATTTGTATAATGTATAGTAAATGTGTTATTTTTTATAAAATGTTTATTTTGCATTAATAAGGGTCATAAATTTGAATGGATACACTGCTGAGAAAGATGCTTGGATTGTAAAAAAACAAAATACTTTCAACAAATTTAAGGAACATATTACATCAGGGGTCGCCAAACTTTTTTGATCATCAACCCCCTACAACTTTTCGAAATCTCACATTGACCCCCACCAAAAAGTTTGTTACAAGCAAAAAAAAAGGCACGTACTATTTTAATATATATCTTTTAATTTTACATTTTTTACATTTATTGTACAGTACTGTACATATGTTAATAATAATTTTTGTAACTGACAATCAAATAAGACAGATAAGCTTGATAATCCTTAGCAAGATTAGAAATATTCAGTTCAAAATTTGTAAGTTTTAGTCTTTTCATTGACCCTCATTGAAATCCAATAATCAACCCCTGGGGGTCGATATAACATTATTGGACCCCTATATAACACTTTGGCGACCCCTGTATTACATGATCAGAAACATGAAATTTATTTATTTGATTAATAGTTTATTTTTCTAAGTGTTTCGTTACAGAACACTTAGAAAAATAAACTATAGAAAAATCAATTGGGTTTCAGAAGATGTTTATATTTGTATAGAAAAATCAATGCAATTGACAGATGTGTCAAAATATTTAATGAAATAACAAAAAGTATCTTGAATTCCAAGATTTTAATAATTTGATAGAATTAATTTTTTGTTTTCCAGCTTCTGTAAAGAAGAATCTACTCACTCAAGAATTTCCTATGGCCAAAATATAAGTTAAGGTTAATTATTGAGGCCATGAAAGTAATGCTAATTATCAAGCAGAATTGTGACTTACAATGCAATAAGTTTTATGATAAATTGTGAGTGACCAGAACTTATTAATCAAAATAAATTTATTTTAAAAATATGCTTGGTTTGATTCTAAAAAACCTTCTACATCAATGTAACTGTTAAATTTGACATCAAATTATAATATTAATTTTTCAATATTGGATTTTTGAAAACAAAAGCATTTAGAAAATTTTTTTATTTTTTCACTAATATTAATATAATAATATATTAATCATCTGTTAATAATGCTCATCTATATTTCTTGATGAAATTTTAATAAGAGAGTGCCTTTATTTTATCAGATATAATTCCCCATCTCATTTTGGCATAAAAAAATATGGTCAGTCTAATTAAACAGACAAATATTTAATGGAAATATTCTATATATAAGTTATAGACTTAATAACTTGCATGTGTTTTTTTTTTGCAGACCAATTTGAGACAATTCATTATTATTATTATGCAACAACAGAATACATTTCTAGTCTAAAGTAAATAATGTATTTAATAAAATTTTGTTATTTCACTACAGAATATTGCAGTTTTTTCATTTTATGCAAAAAATATATAAAATATATTTTATTGTTTCTGGCTGGATGTAGTTTTTGGTGCAAACATGGCAGCATATCAAAGAGCTTGTACCAGTCCCAAAAGTTCTGGTACAAGCTCTTTGATATGGCTCCATGTTTGCACCAAAATCTACATCCATTCAGCCAGAAACAATAAAATATATTTTATGTATTTTTTGCATAAAATGAAAAAGTTGCAATATTCTATAGAGAAATAAAATTTTTAAAAAGAAAAAAAAAGCTGATATTATGAAGATTGATAGGAAGCAAGATATACTTAATGTTAAATGTAAGAAGATGAAAAGTTTGCAACTCTTCCTAGAAGATAAAGCAAATTTGATAAACTAAACCAGTGTTTTTCAACCTTCTTGAATACGTGACCCCTTTGCAAGTTAAAAAATTCTGGCAACTCCCTTAGGGCCATATTAAAACTATATCAGTGATTTTAAAAACTACATATTTAATTTTCTTTCTGTTGAGATCTAAATATCAATTGAAAAACCAATTGTACTGTAAAATAAACAGATACAGCCTTCTCACTGAAATTGTAGTTTTTTTTTATTGTAGTGTAGGACCTACAAACACTTGTCTTTTTCTTTTACCCGTGACCCCATGGGGGTTGTGACCCACAGCTTGAAAAACACTGAACTAAACAAATGATCTGATTGGAAGAAAATGTCATTTCCTTCATGTGTTTCTCCAATGCTGGAAACAGGTGATAATCCAAGAAGACAGAATATAGCAAATAGGCTAGGTGGTGTAACAATTTGAACCCCAAATCCTTGGGATTCCTGGGGCACTTTGTATTATTTACAAAGCATCCCTGACTCAGCTTCTCCCCCAGTCTGAGTTTAGAGGTCCTGCAATTCATCTAATAAGGACATACAATAGGTTGTATTGGTTTACTCACCCACTGTCACATACTTCATCAAGATGACACCAGAACATAGATGGCATAACTTTTCTAGCCAATTTCTGAACACAGAATTGTTTAGAAGACCTGCTAAGGAATCATTCTTGCCATTCTTTGAATTATTCCTTTGTCTCAGGATCATAATGATGGCATTATGTTACATCCATACACATCAACAGGTCAGAAAGTTTTCAGCATAAGTATCAAAAGAGATGCACCAAAAGAGCATGGGAACACAATAGCTATATGCAAGCTCATTTTGAAAACAGCATTTTGAAGACAGAAGGTATTATGAATGATGCAAGAAACCCTTTCCTAGAAAATCTATAAGATTTTAGCAATCTTCAAACATTAGGTCATGGATTTTATTCACACTTTCATTTGTTACTGTTGAAATAGACCATCCAGAGCATGGTTTATCTGTTGACTCAAAATGGCTGGTATAGAAACATACCATTATTTTTTCACCATTGTGAGGGAAGGGCAGTCTTCCTCTAGAGCAGGGGTCACCAAACTTTTTTGGGGCCAGATAACTAAGAGAATGACATATGAGGACCACATAACCATTCTGTTGAATACAGTACACTGAATACACAAAAAAATAAAGATAACCAACATATTTATTTACCAATACACAAACATGATTGCTGTAGCAAGCTAATAATCGCTTTTCTTAGAAACTTCATTGCAGATATTTACACAAAAAGTGCTCTGATATCCAAAGTTGCAAAAAGTTGCCAAATTTTTCACTGATTTTCCTAAAAATTATATTACTGTCAGATGCAAAAATCAGATTGGACCAATTTTGGCATTTTTACTTACACTTATTTTAACTTTTTCTACATAGTAAGTTTATCTACAACAGTGGCATACCATGACATTTGATGATAGGGAAGCTGTTTCCATAAAAATTTTAAACAAATACTGAAAATGACAGAATAAACAGTTTGTTTATTTTAATTCTAAAATAGATAATTGACTCGAAACAAAGATATGAAAACTTGTTTTTATTATTTTTTATAAACTAACTCTGTTCGGCAATTTTTTTCTGCAAAGTCGTTAATTACTTTATCATAAAAATTGCTTGTCATTGATTCCACCAAAGTATTTAAAAGCTCTTTTTCTATTCAAATTTGCACTAGTGACAACAATCTTTCCTCTAACTGGGTGTTCCTTGCAAATGTATGAATTCGCTTTGTGGTTGAGAAACTGCACTCAACAGATGCACTCGTAGATGGTACTATAAAAATTAATGATATTAAATCATTTAATTCTTTTAGTATATCTTTGGTTGGATCGTTATTAATTATAATATGTTTTATTCTAAGAGTGACTTGCCGATATAGCCTGGATGTGAATATAAATATTGCAATTCACTACATAATTTAGATAAATCAAAAAATTCTCCATAAACTTTACTTAAAGAATTAAAATTTGCTTCGGAAAATTGTTTTTCATAATATTTAAAATTATTAACATCTAAACATGATAAAATTTCTAAAGATTTTATGTCTGAAAATCTGTCAATATAATTATAATTAAAATATAATTATAATTAACTATACCTTTGTAAAGAAATGTACATCAAAATAACATTGAATATTCTTTACTTTTTAAATCTTGCATGCACTTAGTCAAATAGCTTCCTACAAGTCAGATGAAATTGTTGGAAGCATAATATGATATTTTGTTTATACAACAAAATATCATATTACGCTTCCAACAATTCCATCCACCAGCTAAATCATGAGAGATTATGCTCTGTAAAGCACATGTGCAAATGCCTGTAATCTGGCTGCTTTACAAGATCCAGATATTTTCGCTGTGGAAGCTGTCCCGTATTCGACAATACATCACTTCCATTGGAAATATGCATATATGAATTTATATTCGAATATAAAATAACAATCTTATCATTGTTTTTCATATGTATAGAAATTTGTAATAAAATACATAATGTGGTTATAATAGAATATTAATTTTAATTAATTCAAAGTACATTAAAATATGAAAATAATTGCATGATATGTATTTATATTTCAAAGTGCAAGGGAAACGCTGCTTCCAACAGCTTCCATGGATGGCATGCCATTGATCTACAATCTATGATATTTTCATACAAATAATTACATTTTAGCTCATTTGTGGCACAGTGTGGCAGTGGGCAAGATGAGCTGACCTCACAGGCCATAGTTTGGGACCCCTGCTCTAGAGTTGTCAATAACTTAGAGTAGCTTTCCTTTATTCCTTTTCTTTGCAGAAACAAGAAATTTATATACAAGCAGTGCTAAATTCTAGAGTTAACATCACTATCATGAATTCAAACTGATAAAGGATGCAAACTAATTTAGGTTATCACTAAGGAATGACCTTTCTCCCTACATCCATTATGACAGGCTTTTGCTATCTTGTATATGGATAGTTATAAACTTTTCAGCACCCTTCATTATATTTGTTGTGACTTGTTATGATTAAGACAAAAGTCATCACAACATAAACCAGATCTCAGAAAAATATATATCCATGTATTATCATAAGATAATACATTGTATATACATATCAAAAAATATTATATTACAATGTTTTTCAGAATAAACAGTTATTGAACTATCTTAGATTTATCATCCTTTCAATATTGTGTTGTTACATTCTTTATATACATTAACAAGATTCTATAATCTATACCATATTTTCTCCTTTTATGAAATGCACATTTTATAAGTTTCAAAGTGTTGATAAAAACTCAAATGTTCTCAAATAATTACTAGAAATCATACAGATGAAATACAGGTATACCTCGCCTTACGTCGGTAATTGGTTCCAGAAAAACGACGTAAGTCGAATTTACCTGTCTCCGAATCTACTTATCACTAGGAAAGCATTTTAAATAATATATGGTTAATAAAAATCTATTTTAAGCTTACAAACAAATAAATTTTAGTTTTTAATATAGTACAAAAAAAATAATCTAAATTTACAAATGCGTGTACTGTAAATACAGTACATACTTGTATATATTTTAATATGATTTTATGTGCTTTAAACGTTTATCTAGTGAGATTACGACTTCAATATTTGTGGCGGACAGACGTAAAGTCGAATAAAATGACTTAAACTTGATTTTTATTTTTCCATATACTTTTTTAACAAGCGACGTATAATCGGGAACGACGTAAGTCGAGGTATGCCTGTATACATAATTATACATTATTGCATAAAACAAATATATGTTTATATATGTAAAATTGATAGCTATTAGCCTGAAGCAAGTTACTTTATGTATTCATTCTGAGAGGTTCTGATTACTACCATGGGAAAAGAGTCATGAGATGTAAAAAATATATTCACTACCATGTAATTGTCAATAAGAGTAACTCAACACATAGGCTCAGGATTTTTACTTATGAGAAGTGATCATCTGTGTGATCTGCAAATATATGGATGATTGGAGGATCTGTTAATTTTCAGCAACATAATATTAAGTGCTCTTACTAAAATAGTTAAAAGTATCTATCTAAATGATAGTTGTCTTTCTGGAGTCCTCAAAAATTTGTTTCTTAAATAATTTTTGTAGTCATTAATAACAATGCCTTTGACATTTTTTATCATTAATTAAAGACTTTATCAAAATGTCTTTAGTAATAATATTTGTTAATGGGCAGTCTCAAAAGAAAGAAAATATGATATATAAAATAATTATACATTAAAATATAGTATAAGTTATACTATAACTGAATTCTGATTTAAAGATAATGTTAAGCTTTGAAATTACATTACTATATAATTTTAAAAAAATCTTACCAATGCCACTATGATGTCTACCTATGAGTGTAAGATTGAGATATTCCAACATTCCAACTAAATCTCTTGGTCTTTCTAAGTGAAATAATTGTGCAAATGACTGTTAAGAAAAAAATATATATATAATTTATAAAATATTTCAAAATTGTCAATTACATATTATTTTTGAACAAATAGAACATCAAAAAAATAAAATCATATTACTTATGTTCATTAAAATAAACCAAACTTGACACTAACCTATTAGAATAATTAACTAAAAAGCTGCTAAATTTTGAAAATCAAAAAGTTTATTGAATAATGTTTCCAGTCCTAAGCTGAGAATGGCTCAAAATAAAGCTGAAAATATCACTCAATAAACTTTATTTGGTTTGTAGAATTAAATAATTTTTTAATTAATTATTCTACTATGTTTAATATCATTAATTTCATCAATCTTGAAAATCTGTTAAAAAAGTCTTTAAATGTATGATTAAAAACAAATGTCTTTAAAATGTGTTTGATTTAATATGTAGTATTTATAAATGACAAATATAATAGTTTTCTATTTATACATAAATTTCAAGACAATTTTAAAATCTTGGAAATTATCAAATACTAGATTGTTTTTTGTGAAATTTACCCAGATGATAATTTTTTCATTAATTAATTAAAAGTAGCCTAAAAAGAAACGTCAAGTTGTTATGGAATGCATTCTGGAACATGGAAGTGAATAAAAAGATTACTGTTTCAACAGACTTTGTCTTCATTCTAATTAATGCATTAAACTTCATTCTAACTGTCTTCATTTGTCTTCATTCTAACTGCATTAAACTATAGACTCATTAATATTTTTAAGAACTTTTATTGAACTTGCTTTGTATTATGTCCTCATATCTTGCATTCAAATTTCATCCACTTCTAATTATAATAAAATAGAAAGCTGAAACCTTGATGAATACCTAAGTCTGATGAAAATGAATTTTAATGATAATTTTGGAGAGGAGGTCCCACAATCTCTCCACCCTAAAACCTCATAAACATAATCAAATGTAGAATTTAATCTTGATGTATGTCTGTAAATGCACTGTAGTGATATACTGTATATGGTGGGGATGGAGACACCCCAATTTTGAAAAATGATCAAGAAAAACATTTTTTTTTTTATTTTAAAAAAATATATTAAAATTATAATTTAAGTACTTCAAAACTGAAATATTCATAATTTAATAAAATATAATTAAAAAAAAAAAAAATTAGTAACCATCAACAAAATTATCAAAAGTATCTAATGCTATTTTGATGTTAAAAACTGATTGAATTAGAATAATATTAACTGAATTATATCTTGTTTATATCATTTAGTCTACGGTAAAAATTGATTTCATTATATGTCTTTTCACTTAATGTTGCAGTTTCCAAGAATCTATTGATGACATTAAGTGAGACATGCTATACTTTATTTTTTACCATAATTATCACTCCAGTTTTTGAGGATGATTAGTATCTTTCATTGTAAATGCATAAACTTCTGAATAATAAGTTGATATGTTTTAAATTTAGTATAAATTCAGTTTAAAGAAAATATTTATTTTATAAATTTTCATCTATAATTTTACATAACCAAATATGAAAACTAAATTCTCTAAAGAATTTTCAAATAAGTTACAAAATTATCAGCATGTTTTCATTAAATGTAAAAGTAAGTTTAAATTAATTTTATTAATTGTATTTTTAAGATATTATCTCAAAAATCCATGTGTAAAGGCCATTCTCATTTTGAAAATAAATAAACAAAAAAAAACCAAACAGCTATAAAAAGTTTGGTGTTCATCTATCAATTTTGTTAATTATGGAGATTTCTACAAACAATGAAAGAAACTAGTGTTTAAGTTATATAAAAGTTTAAAGATATACACTTTACAGTTTGACAAACCATAAAATGAATATCCTCATTTTTCATAATATATTATCAAACAAATATTTAATACTATGTTACAATGCAGGAAGTTCAAAATGTACTATACATAACATCTTCATAAACAATAGATGTCTTTGTCAGTATTGTTAAAAATTTTTAAGAGTTTATATGTACCATGGTCTGTGTACAATAAAAAGAATATGGAAAATTTTGTTATCAGAAAGCTTGCTTGATTTGATTTTGATATATGGTTATTGCAGAAAGTAAACTTATATCCAAATTCTTGTCCAAAATATAAACACATAAAACTCAACTTTTGCTAAATTAGATAGTGAATATATAATTGTCACTCTAATCTAATCATATAGCTTTCAGGAAAAATTTCCATGCCACAAAAATGATAGTTTACTAAAACTTTATAGCTTGTTTTTGCTTAGTTCATTTTTCTTTGAGAAATCAACTATTATTGGAAAGGAAGTAACAGTATCTAAACAGTACTTTAAACAACTATTAGAAAGGTGGAGTTTACACTATGATTTCAAACATATATTTGTCTATAAAATATGATTTTAATGCATGATGGTATGCCGTTGCATATTGCTAGTATTATTATATAGTATAATCTTCACAAAGGAAATATTAATAAGTAGACTTCATGACTTGCATGTTCACCAGATTTCACTCTCTTGCTGGTTATGGATAAATCTCAAAAGAACAGGTTTATCAAGACACACCTGTACTTTTATACACTTAAAATTATATATCCAACACAAGGTTTCTGACATCTCTGCAACATGTTCCAGGAGAAGTGTTAATAATGCTGTTTTCTATCTCCTTGTTATAGTAGTATAAAGACTCTGAGCAAATGATAAATTACAGTGCAACCTATTTGATAAATAAAGCAATAGTGCCCTCTGTTGATGAAAATTTTAACAACTGTCTAAATATTCATTTTTATATTACTCAATTATATTACTGTACTCAAATATTAAACTCAATAATCAACCATAATGGTATGTGAAACAAAATATTATTAAGGCTATTAAATTCTCAATTATTAAGTTTTAAAAATGTTAAAGGATTTTATATCTCTATAATGTCCTATGAGTTAAATATTATTATTTATTTTAAGTATTAATATGCTATAAATTGATTGAAATCAAAGTTGTAATTAGTTATTGTTTAATTAAAAAATATAAATCAGATTAATATTTTATTTATTAGTAATTTATTCCATTCCATTAGTAATTTGCATCAAAAACTCAATATATTCAAGTTTAAATTATATCTTGGTTAATTAAACTTCATTTATCTTTTTAAGATAATTAAATAATTATTATTATTATTATTATTATTATTGAGGAGGAATGGGTGAATATTTAATTTTAATTCAAGCCTGCAGAAAATTTTACCCATTAATAGTGTTGAAAAGTTTTGAAGTAAAAACAGATTTTCTTTTTCATTTCTTTTTAAACTGTTTTGATTTTGGTTTTTGTAAAAGTCAAAACTTTGTTTCAATAACTAAGACTGACTCATCCATACTGCAAGTGCCTACTGGGGTGGATTAAGGCTTCCAGCTTCCCTACCCGTAGGGCAGCTGGAAGCCTTAATCTGCCCTTTAATTAGCCACCCTTATAGGAGACAATAGTTCCAAAAATTTAATTAAAAAAAAACAAATTTGTTGGTGTGTGAAGCCCATAAAATAAGCTACTTAACAGGTAGCCCACAACCTAAACTGTTAACCTAATCCCGCAACACAGGGGACTCATAGTTTTCAATAAAAAAAACTTTATGTTGAAAACAAGACCTGTCATCAAAACTTTTTAGACTCTGTAGCTCTTCTATAGATGAAAATTTTTATTATTTTATATTGGAAAGACTTGGCTTGGAAAAAATTCATCAACAAATTCATTAATTTGGCTATTATATATTATACGTTAAAACTGTATACCCTGCATCTTTATGATTTTTTTTTAAAGCTTGTGATATTTTAAATGTTTCACACATTAACTTTGAAAGTGCTGAGTGCACATTTTTTGCCATACAATGTTGCCAACCTTCCTCTTATTTACTTGACCCACCACCCACTATCCACCAGTGTTGCCCGACACTCGACACTAGTAATGATCCAAAGTACAGACCAATTAAATTCATTAGCCTTGTTATGATCAGATGCCAGAATTAAATCAACAAATGAATTATGATAATTTGATTGATGAATTTGCAATTAGAAAAGCACTTAAACATTTTTTAACTCAAAAAAATTGTTATACTTTTTATAAGAGGTTTAGTGTTTTATTTTTTATAATAAAGATATTTTGGTCTCTGTCACAATTTTTATTATTACAATGCATTGATAAAAAATAAAAACAAGCTCACAGGAGCGGTAGATTCAAACATAAAAAATTTTGTCAAGATATTCAATATAACAAAAAATTTTTTTCTGTCATAATGGTTTCCATCCTTAGAAGCATGCCGCCCTATGCCCAGGCATACTCAGCATACTCCTTAATCCTCCCAAGTGCATAACTGTATAAATAGTTAGTCATGTAACAAGAGATTGAACTAATTAGAAGCAAAGTAAACAATTTTGCCTTTAAAACACAAGATCCCAGCATTTTGGTTAATTTCATTAATTAATCCTTTACAGGAATATCAAAGTCCATTTTTTTGCATCTATTGTCATAATATTATCTTTTTCTACTGAAAATTTTCCCTAGACTGCTTTAATTTCCCCAAACTTCATTTGCATAAGCAGACATATGCTGCACCTCTGGATATATTATGTAGCAGAATTTGTGCAGACCAGATTTCTGCCATATTGATCCTTACCTCTATCATTTCATTTGAATCTTCTTAAACTAGATGAAGAAAATATAGATAAAACATATCCTCTAAAATAATACTAACTTTTAATAATACTAAACTTTTAAGAAACCACTAGGTATGAAGTTCAAAACTTAGCAAATTTTAGAATTACAGTAGAGCGTCGCTTTTCTGAAAGTCAATCATCCGAAAGAATTCCAGTCGGCAAATTTAAATTTTTGCCAGTGCTGTGGCCCTTCAATCTTTGGCTATGTCTTGGGCTACTCAAATATTTTACGTTTTTGATACTAAATTAACNTTTTTTTTTAATTTTTGAAATTTCTTTTGCACCTCTATAAATGCTCTCTCACACCCCAGGTTAAGAACCACTGCACTAGAGGTAGACATTAGGTGCCATCTCTTGCTAATTTAATAATTTTAATTAAATTAATTATTAATTTAGAAGATTCTGGAAGAAAAGAATTGCCTGAAGCAGGACTCAAATCCATAATATAGCTCAATATAATCTGGCAATTGTTTGGCTTTAATATATCTATTGGGTTTAGATATTGATATTTGTGTATTTTCTTTAAATACACAAATATCAATATCTTAGTTATTATAGCAAAAAGTGTTATGTATTTTCTTTAAATACATAACACTTTTTGTAATACATCAGTTCTTTTTGGACAATCTGTAATCTATAAAATAAAGAACTTACTGTAATTATATTTATTAAATTTTCTCTTACATTTTTTTCAAATCCCAATCACCACATGTCACAAAAGCAAATTTCACTTTAGGTTTTAAAAGAACTTCTTTTTCCATCCACAACTGGAAGTCCTAATATAATTTTAATGCTTATTAATGAATTTGAAAAAACAACATAATATGATTTTATTAATTTGCAATTGTGTTTTAAATTTTTTATATATGATTGATTAAATAATCTTATTTTAAGATTTCTCCAATTAACTAAAAATGCTTTTACTCATTTTTGAAATAGTTTCTATAATATGCAAAAATTGTTTAATACACACTGTGTGCCAATTAAGATATGAGACAGTTGTTTATAACATAAACAGAAACCTTTACTTTTTGAAATCATTTCCTATTATCATTTTATGTACACATTTTATATGTTAGGGTGGATTCATAGTAGTAGTGCTGACACCAGTTTCAAATAACAAAACAAATATTCATTCACACTTTGACCAACTACCATACAACACTGTTTCATATAGCCAATAGGACATGTTGTTTTACTGAAGAGCTTAGTGCAATCAAAATAGATAACTTTGAATAAAACTATTTATCAGTTAGTTCTAACACCATGGCTGAGGACACCAGATTTCTTGCTTTGCAAGGCCACCTGGATCTTTGCTTGTGCACTTCTCTCACATAACATCATCTACCAAATAATCACAAATGCATGCTGCCATTGTCTTTGTACTTCAAATACATTTATGAATTTAAAATACCAATTCAAAATGATCTTGCATTGCTCAAATGACAATTGTGCCTCTGCCATTTTGTTTGACTCTCCTGCCAGTTGTATGTGATCAGCAATATCTTTTGACAGAATACAGTCGATCCCCCTATAAGATCATTGATTTTTCCGTTTTATCTGAATTACATGTTGTACGAGTCACTTAGATTTTACAAATACGTGTGCCGGGCTGTGAACGGCTCCCATATTTGTAAAATCTAAGTGACTCGTACAACATGTAATTCAGATAAAACGGAAAAATCAATGATCTTATAGGGGGATCGACTGTATTACACTACACATTGTCATCATAATTCAGTTCAACTTTTAAAAAATTCCATAGATACCCTCTTTTAAAGTGTGTAGTATACACATTTTTTTGGGTATTCTGTATTTTAGATAAATTATCATAATTTTATCAAAAACATGCTAATTTTAATATAAAAATAATTGTTTCAAAAACTAAAAATTTAATTATCCAAAAAAATCTTGATTCTGTAGATCCAACTTGCAAATGAATATCATTATTTTAGTATATTATTTTTCTTACCGGTAATAGATTTTATTACTTCTATGTTGAGTATTTTTTAAATTATTTTCACCATTTTTTGTAATTTAATTCACTAATTTTTTCTCCTATGTACAAGATGTCTGAAAAAGAACTGATAGACTACAAAAACTCATATTTATTTTAGGAAAACAGATACAGTCACACTGTCTTAATTAATGAGAAAACTCAAAAAGATTTATCATCTTTAAGAAATCCAGATATGAGCATCATTCATTATTCTTACAATACTAAGACAATATTCAATTTCTCTGGGTGTCAAATGACATATCTTGAATGATGGTTTCAACTGTGTTTATTATGCAACCTTTTAATGTTTCAATATCTGTAACAGGTGTTTGATAAATCAGGTCCTTCACATAATCCTACAAATGTGAAGGAGTTATATCAGGGGAGTGGACTGGAAAATGAATTGGTCCATCTTGTTCCATCCATCAGTTAAAAATAACTTCATCCAAAAGTTCAACATGCAGCAACAGTATACAGCACAATTTTTTTTGTACTGCAGGAAAAACCATTTAATTTCCACTGACAATTATTGAAAACCATATGTATATGATCTATTTACTTTATACACAGTATATTAAAGCCAAATGATTGCCAAATTATATTGGACTATATTACTACCACCATTAATAATTAAATGCACTAGAGCAGCAGTTCTTAACCTTTTTAGTAGTCAGCACCCCCCCTTGAATCTGAAAGTAAGCTCTTGCACCCCCTTAAAAAATGTGTGTATATTTTTTATTTAAGAAAAAACATTTATTGCATAAACAAATGCCATGTTTATTTACAATATATAATATTATGTTTTTATGTTACATAGGAATATGATATATTTATATTCCTATGTAACATAAAAAGCAATATTTAAATTTTAATGGCTAGGTTGTTGTTGTTTATTCATAGTAATTCTATTAAAATGAGGCTCTTTTTTTGAAAGAGCCACGTGTAAGTCATCAGATGCATTTAAGCGATTTCTGGCTTTTGTTTTTATGTGCAAAAGTGCTGTATTCAAGGTATGTGAACATGTCTCAACTAATTTCTGTACTGCACATGACAATGTGACTACATTAACTACATGTACTGACGACTGATGACAAGTGCTATGTGCTGAGAGACGGTAGAGTAGGAGTGTAGAAGTGAGACGATAGAGAATGAAGAAGTGTGGTGCCGTGTTGCTGGGTACCATAGTTTGTAGAGAACATGGTCGCCTTGTTCATATTTTTTTTTTTTAATTTTTGAAATTTCTTTTGCACCTCTATAAATGCTCTCTCACACCCCAGGTTAAGAACCACTGCACTAGAGGTAGACATTAGGTGCCATCTCTTGCTAATTTAATAATTTTAATTAAATTAATTATTAATTTAGAAGATTCTGGAAGAAAAGAATTGCCTGAAGCAGGACTCAAATCCATAATATAGCTCAATATAATCTGGCAATTGTTTGGCTTTAATATATCTATTGGGTTTAGATATTGATATTTGTGTATTTTCTTTAAATACACAAATATCAATATCTTAGTTATTATAGCAAAAAGTGTTATGTATTTTCTTTAAATACATAACACTTTTTGTAATACATCAGTTCTTTTTGGACAATCTGTAATCTATAAAATAAAGAACTTACTGTAATTATATTTATTAAATTTTCTCTTACATTTTTTTCAAATCCCAATCACCACATGTCACAAAAGCAAATTTCACTTTAGGTTTTAAAAGAACTTCTTTTTCCATCCACAACTGGAAGTCCTAATATAATTTTAATGCTTATTAATGAATTTGAAAAAACAACATAATATGATTTTATTAATTTGCAATTGTGTTTTAAATTTTTTATATATGATTGATTAAATAATCTTATTTTAAGATTTCTCCAATTAACTAAAAATGCTTTTACTCATTTTTGAAATAGTTTCTATAATATGCAAAAATTGTTTAATACACACTGTGTGCCAATTAAGATATGAGACAGTTGTTTATAACATAAACAGAAACCTTTACTTTTTGAAATCATTTCCTATTATCATTGTACAATGCTAGCATCAACAACAGACAATGTTGAAAGCATGGTGAAAGTCTTCAATTGAGATATTATTCACTTGAACAGTTGTTATATTATATGTGCTTGATGTGTTATGGATATGTTTCTTTCAAACCAATTTGATTTGCAGAAATAAAAAAGTCAATAGGAGCCAAATTAGATTTATAGGGAGATGTTGAATGATTGTGGTTTGTAAAAGCCAAAAATTGTATAACAAGTAACATATTAAGCAGGTGCATTATGTTGCATGAGAAATCAATCATTTCTCACTCATCACATTTGTTCTTGTAAACTCCTTATGGTTTCTAAATAATATATAGCATTAACTGCTGTCCCTTGAAGAATAAATTCTCTAACCTCACAACAACTAGCTAGCCTGGCTTGTGTCATTTTTAATGGACTCTCAAACTTTCTGAAACAATCATGCCATTGACAAACCTGTGTCCAAATCAAACATTCATAACCAAACACAATTTTAAATCCTGTAAAGTTTCTGTGGAACTTTTGCCTAATTTTGCATAAAATGACTACTCACTGCTATTGAACTCATCTACCTGACATACAGAGATACATTCATTAAAATAATCATAAAACAAGAAGCAATGTATGCAACCAATTCAGACTTGTGCAACTAATGGTTGGAAAGCACATAGTCTAGCAGTCTCAATAGCAAAAGATAGTTCTTATTTCTACTATGCATATAAAGAAGAAGTATCTTTTGCTATTGAGATCTTTTGCTCCTAGGATGCTTGTGCACGCACGCATAGAGCATGCACAAGCATCCCAGTCTCATTATTTAATTGGCATACTATATATAAAACTATAATTTATAAAAAAAAAAAAAAAAAACTATATCTCAAATATTTAATTATGATTTTAAATATAAAAAATAAGGAAGAGGAAAAATTGAAATTTATTTCAGTTTATTTAATTTATTTATGAATATACAAGACAGTCTGATTTTCAGACAACTTCCACTTTTAAAATCCTAAATCAATCTTTATACATTAAATTTGGACTTGCACATTTTCAGTAACTAAATGAAACTTTTGAATTAACATGCAGTCATACTTTCTGCCATTTTAATTTTTATACCACCAAATCATTGTGATAATTAATTTGTATTGTCTGTTTTCTTTTCAATCTAAAATTTTAAGATTTTAAATAATGTTTTATACACTATAGTATATTTGCTGTAAAAAGCTAAAACTTTCCTATCTTAATAATAGATTTCATAATTTTTCTTTTTAGTTCTCTATGAACAAACTCCCTTTTTTAACAAACAAATTCTATTACTTGCCTTTCAGTTATTTGATTTTTGTACATATTTTTAGGAATATAGGCAGTTCTAATCCAAAAGTCACGAACTGCCTGTAAAAGCTAAATTTATTAGAATAATAGCCTTATAAATCCAGAAAATAAGAATCATCATGTACAAAAATATTTACAGTTCTGCCTTACCATGCTTACATATTATGATATAATATGATTATTTCAAATAAATTATAAATCTCATAGTAGTATAAACACAGATTGAATATAAACTTCTGAAGATTTTACAATTAAAATACTGAAAGAAGTTTATTTACTACTAGAAACACTAAAATTCACAATGATATGCATGTAATGATATGGAACCTACTCATTTCTCCTCGAGTGCAATCTGTGTTATATGTAGATATGTATGCACTCTATGGTATATACTTTGTTGGATTTATATTTATATGTTAATTTATTTATTGTTCTAAAAATGCTAAAATTTAAATTTAAAAAGAATGTTGAAAAAAATGGAAAAATTGAAAAGAGAATGTTCTAAATTTGGAATGCAGAAATGGGAATGCCAGAAAGTTTAAAGGAAGGTCCAGTCTGTTATTTTTTTTGGAGAATTAGAGAAATGTTTCAAATCCTTCTTGTTTGAAGGTTTTTCTTTTAGAAAAGGACCTGTGGTGATAGATCACCTACGTTGGCACAATCAACAGGATTAACAATTTATAAAAAAGTGACTATGTTCCAAAACAAGGAGAGCCAATCGATAACTGGGCTGAGTGGATAGTTGAGGCAGAGTACTAATTATTCATCAGTGAAGATGTAAAAAAATTTTTTCTTTGTTGAAAACAAAAATTTCAAGGCTGAATTCTAAGTGTAAAGGGAGTTAAAAAGGAAGATCTACAGATTGTGGCAGAAGAGCTTTGTGGCACAATAGACGAGAGTCTAAAGATATCGGAGTTAAGAGAACTTATTATAAAAAGTAACAATTTTATTAATGACCCAGATTTTGCATTGAAAATTCTGTCCTCAACCATTGCTGAAAGGAAACAGAAGGAAGAACAGGAAAGGCTACAAGCTGAAGGGAAACGGGTAGAAGCCGAAAGGGAAAGGGAATGCCAGAATGAATTAGAGCTAGCACAAATTAGCACTAATAATCAAAGCAGGATGAGTAATGATAATCTTAACCTTTCGGACAGCCATCATAGTGATGGGCCAAATAGGAGTATTGAAAAATTAATTAAAAATGTAAAAACGTTAACACTACCAGTCCCAACTATGTCTGAAAATTGAAACCTATTTTTCTTATCCTTAGAGCAAGCGTTCCAATTAAAAAATGTTCCAGAGGAGATGAAAGCAGAGATACTAATCAATGTTCTGTGGGAAAGGCCACAAACATTTTAATTTATATAACCAGAGACAAGTTAAGGGATTACGTAAGTGTTAAGAAATTAATACTACGCAAATACAAACCGTCAGCTCAATATTGCCTAGAAAATTTTTGAAGAGCTAGGCGTAGGCCTAACGAGACTCACATGCAATTTGTGTCGAGACTGGTGTCTGCCTGGGAATATTATTGAGTTGAGGAAAGTCAAGGATCTTGAAACTCTAAAACAACTAATTGTGTTGGATAGATTATTCCAGACATTGGATGTCAACACGGCGGCTCATATAAGCGTTTGTCAGAGCGAGAGCTGGTTCAACTCTATTGATATGGCAAGCGAATGCAATCTTTATTTTGAAAGTAAAGGAAAATCCCTAACAGAAACATATAATGATCAGCAAGGATTGCGGCACTTTTCAGATTTTCAGGTCACTAAGGAAAACGGATCTAACTATTGCCAGGAAATAAAACTGAAGGAGTGCTTCATTTGTAGATCACCCCAACATATTGCTAAATTATGCCCATAGAGGATAAGGGATTTGCCCAAAAACAGTAGCCACACTCAATGACCCTTGACAGATTGGAAATTTGAATGATGGCGCAACAGTGGCGAGCATAAGATTAGAACACTCTGGAAAAAAGTGAGTAGACATTTGAAGTCAGCTCCTAGTATTGTCCTGAAGCTCATCTGAACAATGCAAATGCTCTTTCAAGACTCATTTGAAAGAGAGATGATGTACTTTGTATTTGTGACATTAATAGTGATAAGAAGCCATAATTTGTGTAAACAAAGATGGTGAGTTGTGTGTCGCATGTGTGTACTTTGTGTATTTTTGTGGAAGCTCTGTTCTATTGTACTCTTATTCTTTGGAACTTTGTGTTAGATCTGTGTTCAGGTTAAAACCCTAACACTCATCTTGCAGCGGGGATGTAGCGATATGGAACTTACTCGTTCCCCCTGAGTGCAATCTGTGTTATATATAGATATGTATCCTACTCTATGGTTTATACTTTGTCGGATTTATATTTATATGTTACTTTATTTATTGTTTTAAAAATGCTAAAATTTAAATTTAAAATGTTGAAAAAGATGGAAAAATTGAAAAGAGAATGTTCTAAATTTGGAATGCAGAAATGGAAATAAGATTATTCAAATGCTGGAAAGTTTAAAGGAAGGTCATTTATTTTTGGAGAATTAAAGAAATGTTTCAAATCCTTCTTGTTTGAAGGTTTTTCTTTTAGAAAAGGACCTTTGGTGATAGAGGATTGCCTACAATGCATTTGTTCATATTGATACAAATGAATATGATCATGTAAAATACAGGGTGTCCGAGAAAGATCTTAATCATTCTAAACATGAATAATAAAAATACTAACAGGTGAAATGAAATGCAGTTTGCTGCAAAAGAATGACGACATCTAAGAGTTTTTTCTGGTATCAATTGCCCAAGGTAGATGGATTAATTGGTCTTTGAGTACCCATATATTGGCCTCTGCAATCGCCCGACATAACTCCACTGGATTTCTTTTTTTTTTTTGGGTTTATATTAAAGACAGGGTTTATCAAACACCTGTTTCTGATATATCCATTTTAAAGGAAAGGATATAATTCATGTACAGTATGTGAGCTCTGTTAGTATAGTAGCATGAACAATGGCGAGTCTGCTCAATTTCCCTCCAAGTGTTTTTTAACTTTTGCAGTGTAACAGTGAGGATTGCTAATTGTATCCTTTCCTTTAAAACAGATATATCAGAAACAGGTGTTTGATAAACCCTGTCTTTAATATAACCCCAAAAAAAAAAAATCCAGTGGAGTTATATCGGGCAATCGCGGAGGCTAAGATATGGATCCTCCACAACCAATTAATCCATCTACCTTGGGTAATTGATACCAGAAAAAAACTCTTAGCTGTCTTCATTCTTTTGCAGAAAACTGCATTTCATTTCACCTGTTAGTATTTTTATTATTCATGTTTAGAATGATAAAGATCTTTCTCAGACACCCTATATAATACATTATGTATATGGTTCATTGGAGATGTAAAGTATACACCAAAA